CATGGGGAAAAAACACCTTCCCTTTCAACAATTAAATACTCTCTCTTTGCACCCAATCAAAACCATGTACAGTATTCCAAATCATGACCAGATGGTTAAGGCCTCCTCCCTAGAAACTAGTGCACTCCTTCCTGCCTTGCTTGGAAGACAGGAGATTAGAACTGAGTCATGCTTGAGGATTCTATCAAGAATACATAGAGCTCCTCCCATTAATGAATATTCTCAAACAGGTCCTACACAGCTCAAATCAGAGAATGTAGAGCAGGGATAAAGACCTCCAGATGTTGCTGAACTGCAACTTTCAGCAATCCTAGCCCACACAGCCAATAGTGAGGAGTGTTGGGATTTGCAGTTCAGCAACATCTGGAGGGCCACACTTTGCCCAGGTCTGCTCTAGAGGTTGCTGAATTGTAATTTCCATCAGACTTAGCAGCCAGTGTCAATGGGAAGGGATGACTGGAGCTAGGGAGGCACAGGTTTACCACTTCTGGTCCAGAGAACTACCCTCTCTTATGCTTATTCAGAATGAAGACTGCATAATATACTTTCACCCATCTCTTGGAATATTTTGAGGTTCTATAATCCAGGCCTGTCTTCTCACTTGAAACGGCATGAAACGCAGCTTCCCTTTGCTCAATCAGCGCTCTCTGAATTAGCATTTATTTCCAACCATATGTGTTCTATCCCTTTTGCCTCTTTCTGGAAGTTCCACCCTTACTTCAAATACGTATATTTGGAAATCTCTCTGCTGTTTGTTCTTCACATTATACTCCCTCACACCCCTTTCCTAGGCTGAATTCTAGGCTACATAAATTGTATGACAGTGCAGATGTCAACTGTTGCACTATTTCCATGTCTAAACAATACAGTAAAAGGGAGGTTAGCGACAAGCTGAAATTTGACTAGAAGAATTTGACCGAGATGGAAAAAGTCCTGGAAATCAAGCCCCATGAAGAGCGGTTGAGACAGTGGAATATATTCAGCTTTGAGAAGAGAAAGCTGAGAGATTATCTGATAGACATCTTCAGCTGTTTGAAAGGTTGTCAAACAAAAGATGGAACACACTTGGTTATCTGCTGTTCCAGATTGCAGGACCTGAATTAAACAAGCAGGAACATGTTTCTGACTAAATATTAGGAAAGAGTTCCTAACATAGGACAAACAGCTGGGAATTAACATAAGAACGTAAGATGAGCCCTGCTGGATCAGGCCAAGGGACCATCTAGTCCAACTTCCTGTATCTCACAGTGGCCCCACCAGATACCTCTGGGAGCACACAAGACAACTAGATACCTGTCTTCTGACATCCCTTCCCTGCATCTGGCATTTGGAGCTACCCTCCTTTTAAACCTGAAGATTATACATCCCCACCATGGCTTGTAACCTGTGATGGTCTTTTCCTCCAGGAATCCACCCAATCCCCATTTAAAGGCATGTAAGCCAGATGCCATCACCACATCCTATGGCAAGGAGTTCCACAGACGAACAACACGCTGGGTCAAGAAATATTTTCTTTTCTCTGTTCTCACTCTCCCAATACTCAATTGGAGTGGATGTCCCCTGGTTCTGGTATTGTATGAGAGGGAAAAGAGCTTCCCTCTATCCACTTTATCCACCCCTTGCATCATTTTATACAAGGGGTGTATAAGGCCTTTTCTCTAGACCAGGGATCTGCAAACTACAGCCTGTGGGCCACATCCACCCCGCCTTGCCTTTTTATCTGCCCTGGCAAATGCTGCAGGTCCAGGCCAGCAGGCTCAGGTCTGTTCCCTTCAGCCCATACGTGCGTATGTGGACATGTGTGTGTGTGTGTTCCTTCAGCCCTCAAAAATGTTTAAAATATATGATGTGGTCCTCATGCTGAAAAGTTTGTGGAGACCTCTGCTCTAAAGAGCCCCAAACGCTGTAGCCTTTCCTCATAAAGGACGGGCCCCAGCCCAGTCAACATTTTAGTCACTCTCTTCTGCACCTTTTCCAGTTCCACTACGTCTTTTTTGAGGTGCGGCAATCAGAACTGTGCACAATACTCCAGGTACGGCCTTACAAATGTTTTGTACAAGGGCATTATAATGTTTGCTGTTTTATTTTCAATCCCCCTTTTAATGATACCTAAGCATGGAATTGGCCTTTTTCACTGCTGCCGCACACTGGGTTGACACTTGATACAGTATGTCACAGACAGCTCAGAACCCATCAGCTGATAACTAAGATTCTGATTTTTTTTGTCCCAATGTGCATTACTTTACATGTTCTTATACTGAAGCACATTTGCCATTTTGCCACCCATTTTCCCCGTTTGGAGATCCTTTTGGAGCTCTTCACAATCCCTTCTGGTCTTCAGCTGTGGGTCATACATTGGCATGGGGTTGAACTAGATGATCTCTGAGATGCATTCCTACATTTCTATCCTCTTCTCTGCCTTCCCCACCTAAAACCTACATGCCTTGTTCCCCTCAATCTTCCCCTTTCTGTTACACTATTATACCTGAAACACACAATCTCTATAACTCATCTCTGATTTAAACAGCAACAGCACACATGGCTTTCACTGCCCTAGAAAATAACATACTATTAAAGGCAGAGCATCTGGCATGGCTCACTGGCAACAGAGTGGAAAAATTGCTTTAAAGTCTACCACACTCATCAAGAAATGAAGCACAATGTAGATACAATTAAGAAACTACTGTATCTTCTGCCCATCCTTCCACTTCTACTGCTCAGGGGACTGTCTTTTACTCCAACAAACTTGTGGGGAAAGCAACATACAATGGGTATTTCGATCTTCCCAGCAGGATCTAGACTGATGGAGAAATTTCTACAATCACAGGCCCTCTGTTACACTGGTGTGTAGCTATGCAGTTATGATGCATGGAGTATGTTTATTTGCATCCCACCCATTTACAGAGTATATATGGTGAGAAGTAAATACAGTGGTGCTCCGCTTGACGATTACCTCGTTAGATGAGGAAAAGCGATCGCAAAATGGTGTTTTCACAGGCAAAATTCATTTGCGATCGCAAAACGGTGTTTTAATAGGTAAAATTTGCTTAATGACGATCGGTTCCCTGCTTCAGGAACCGATTTTTCGCTTAACAACGATCAAAACAGCTTTTCATCAGGCTATCAAAATGGCTCCCCGCTGTCACATTACAGGCACCAGAAAATGGCCGCCCTATGGAGGATCTTCACTGGACGCTGAGGTATTTTGCCCACTGGAACACATTGAACCGGTTTTCAATGCATTTCAATGGGCTTTTTCATTTCACTTGACGAGAATTTCGTTCTACAGCGATTTTGCTGGAACGGATTATCCTTGTCAAACGAGGCACCACTGTAACTCTCTGGCTCATGGTGACCAGTTTCAAAATACTTCCATCGTTATAACTTTTTAAATACCAGAATTAGATTGCAACTAAAATACACCTGTAGAGGGCAACAGAACTTCAACCATCCAGGTTTTACATGAAGCCTAAACTTAACTTATTAAAAAGAGACAAATTTAGAACAGGTTTTACCCCACCATTAACAAACATGATAAAGGAGGATAAAGACGACTGGCTTTTGCAAATAAAAATAAGAAAAAATATGTAAAAGACAAGTTTGTCTATGTTATTATTGAGATAAATGTGGTCTCCTCTCTTCTCCTGATAAAAGGAATGTATGATAGAAATAAAATAATCTTTGTGAATTGTGATGCACTTTTTCTCATTTTTGAGGGTTTCCAGATATTTGATGTATGGTACAGCCTTTAGTTTCAAGCCATTACACAACCTCCAGTTACATCACTTGTTGCTCTGTATCAGTGGAGAATAAGGACCGGGCCCAAAGAGGATCCCATCCCAATGTTCGTGCGGCCCCTACGCTGGGCATCTTTAAAACCCAATTAAAAACATGGTTGTTCATTCAGGCCTTCCCTCCAGCCAATTCTTGATTTTCTTATTATTATTTTTCCTATTTTTTTAGTTTATTGTAGTTGTTTTGTATTATTCATGTATTTGTTGTGTTTTATTGTTTAATTTTATATTGGAAGCCACCTAGAGTGGTCCACTGGTCCAGACAGGCAGGGTATAAATCAAATAAATCAAATCAATCAATCAATAAATGTTCCCTCTAAGCTGCACACATGCACACTTGCCCAGAGTTCCATCTGGGTTGTGAACAAGCAGCCAGTTTGTTTACTTCCTGTTTCAAACGAATCCCCGCCTACCCCCGCACACATGGAGTGAGGATCCCACACAGCAGGAGAGAAAAAATGTAGAGGGAATGTAGCCTCAACCTCACCTGCTGTGAGATCCGGCCTGGATACAACACCCCTCCCTTCCCAATAAGCTGACCATTTTGAACAACAGTGACTTTTCTTCCCAAAGAAAAAGAGGGGGGAGAGGGAGAGAAAGCAAACATGAATGAAAGCAAGAGAATAGAAATACTGTCTCCCCTTTACCCAACAGTGTCATCCTGGTCAATCATGCATTTTCACCTCCTCCAAATCCTAAGCAATCACAAGCAAACACCAGGTACTGCTATGAGGACATTCATAATCATTTGTGTTAACAAGCAGTTCACAGACAAACTCTGTTTCCCGACACACATTTAAAGACAAGCAAAGAACGATAATCACATTGATGTAATGACTCAGAGTATAGTGAACTTGCTTTTCAATCTAAGATGTGGGTCTTACTGGGATTAACTCCATTCCATGCCATGTATTTTATGAACATCACAGTGCAGAGGAAGTGCACTCCATAACAGCAAGATTTTCTGAAATTTCTGAATTGAGCACAATGAACACTCATTTGCAAGCACAGGCATTGAAATCCCTATCCCTGTCGTATTCCACAAAGAACTGCTCAGAGAAACAAGAAGAGCAGACATCAAAATATGTGGCAACCTTTAACACAGTAGCTCTGCCAGCCTAGAGTTCCACAAAAGCTCCCCCCAACACGCACATAAAATCACACTACTGTCGGCAAACCAAAAACAGATGTCCATCAGATACCTACCTATTTATTAAAGCCTCTCCTGTTGTCTTATGATAAAAAACAGGAATTGGAACACCCCAATGCCTCTGTCGCGATATGCACCAATATGTTCTTCTGTCTAGCATATCTAGCATTCTGTTCATCCCTGTGGCTGGAACACATTTCACTTTTTTTAATGCTTCCTGTGAAATATCCAAAAAGAAACAGAAGTCAAGAGCTTGGCAAAGGTAAAATGTTAATTGAAGCTGGAGGCCTTATAACAATCTTCCCACTCAAACTGAGCTCCTGTCAAACTAATGTTACAAGAATATAAAAACCAGCATAACAGGTTTGTTTGATGACACAGATCCTTCTGTGCCCAAGTGACTAAATATTAGGGGCTAAGGTTGCTATGAATCTAACAATGCAGTCCATATTCTCAGCTTTTGCAGACACAAGATGATGGTGGCCCCCCGCAACCATACCTACAGGAATTCTGAGTCCAAAGATTAGATTTAGCTTATTAGAATTTCTCTGCCAAACGGGAATGGGAACACACCAATGCCTCTGTCAAAATACACATCACTATGCTCTCCTATCTAGTAACTTGGACCTAGCAGACTTCCAGAACTGTCAGGTAATTGGATATTATGCTCTTCTTACTACCACAAGTTCACATCACAAATGAAGCTTCATATGGCACTTAATTTTTTATTTAAACTTATTTAAGAATGGGCTTTCATGAATTACAATCTACTTCCTTGGATATATCAAATCCAGCAGTCATCATCATCTTTATTTACAGACAACAAACTACTATATCTTTTCATAAAACACCCATTGAAACCCTGAAGATTCAAGTCTATAAAAGATGTAAGCATGAGTATATTCAAAAATCCAAACAAGAGTGGTCAGAGAGACTGAATAATAGGATGTATTAAATCTTTCCCCTTAATAAAAGATGTGAGAAAAAAAAGGGCATGCAAAATAGACTCCACCTTGATGCTGTTGCAAGGGGAGTATCTTATATTCATGGGGATTTTATTTTGTCTGTCACCTAGAGGGGAGAACATTAAACTTTCCCAAAGAAAACACCTCATATACTGACAAACAGTTAACCGTCCTACATTGGGCATTTTATTTTTGCATGAGAGGCTTGTCTGGCCCACGGAGCGAGGGCAAATGGATCCTCCTGCAGTTCCCTGGGTCTCTGGCTTCCCTATATACAATGAAGTATCCTCTTCTTGGCATGACAAACAGTAACAATTTAGCATCATTTAGATCCATATATAACAGACAAGAGGGTGACAGACTTTCTGTACCATTGACATGATCCAAGATGACATGATTCATCAAACTAGAATCAAACACTATATTGAAAGCCAAGGTGTAGAATTTAAGAATAAGGCGGCAGCAGATCCAGAAACGAATGGAATAAATCCATGCCAAACATTCAAAATGTTCAAACCAGCTTCCAGTTTGAGAATGTTTCCAGTAGCAAACCTGAGGCCCTGATTATTTGATTATTAAAAAAAACTGAGTTCATTTCAGCAAACTCTTAAAGAAAGAAAATGGGCAACCTGCAGAGAATCTGGGAAATGGTCTTTAGCTTTAAACACCCAAATGTGCCATCCCTCACGTTAAAACTCCCACATTTTGTTCCACTTTTCTTTTGGTATATTTTTCCTGTAACCTTCAGGAAAAAATAACCTTCTGCTACATGGCGGAATATAGCCAAATATTTCTATGAATCCATTTGTTCCATTCCATTATGTTCTATACACTATGAGATTTCAACTTTCCACTTAGGGAAGACCAATATTTTGGCTTGGGTATAATGAATTATTAAAAGACTACTCTTGCAGTACTGAATAAAATCTCCCTTAGATGGCTCTTAAGGCCCAACCCAGTCTGAGAAATCAGAATAGCTTTGTCATCCTAAAGGAGAATAAAGATCACTGCTGGACTATCAAACTGCACCTGCCCCCTCCCCATTTTTAAGAGGCTGTTGATAACCCTCCTCTTCTACAGGGCCTTCAAATGCAGCCTCACCTGAAGTTTAGGTCTCGTGCTGACCTGCCTTATTCAGAAACACTGCACTGTTGTGGCTTAATACTGATTTAATTTGATTGTCCTGGCTATTCTATGTTTATGACTGCATTATTTTATTTGTTTTGTTTTGTCCTGTCGAATTTTATACTGCCCAGAATAATGCTGTGTACTAACAGGATGCTATATCAATGAATAAAATAAATATTACATGAATGAGACAGTAACTTCTCCAAAACTGAGGGAAGATCTGCCATATAAGGAAGCAGCAATACATCCTTGTCTAACACCTCAAGGAACAGCAATTTTATTAATGAGATGTCCTTGATTAATGCAACAAACTTGTATGGATGTGCTATAAGATAGAGACTGATTCCAAAACACAAGCCTCCTAACTGTAGAGCAGCATTCTAATTTGCTCTAAAGGGGATTACAGGACAGAGCATTGAAAATTCAGATAAAAGCCGTGATGAGTTTAAGTCCCTTCAACACAAAGGACAGTTTGTCCATGAGTTGGGCCAAGGAGTGATAAGGAGGAGGGCAACATGCTCTGAAGCCAATCTGTTTCCTCCCCAGAAATGTTAGCATAAGCCACCCCTACTACAGATAGCTGGCTAACGGCTTGAAAATTACATGGGCCATCTTTAGAATTCTTCTTACGATTGAGATACAGTAGTACCTCAGTTTACGGACACCTCAGTTAATGTAATTTTTGGTTTACGAATGAAAATCCATTGAAAAGAATGCCTCAATTTACATTTTTTTCCCGCAGTACGAAGGAAGTTTCCCCAGGACGCATTGTGCTGGAGGCTTATAGCAGCACCCCATTCCTATGACAAACCGTGTTTCGGTTTATGAATTCTTCGCATTACGTAATGTCCCATCGAACGCATTAAATTCGTAAACAGAGATACTACTGTATGAGAGGAACACATTAAAGAAAACAAGGAAGACCACTAATAGATATAACATTTTCTTCCTTCTTTCTCCCATTAAGGAAGGTAGGAAGGAAATGTGCTATCAAATAGCTTACAACTTATGACAAGTCTATGAATAAATGATGTCCAGGCCTTATCATTCACAGCCCTGCTCAGGTCTTGGAAGCTGAAAGCCATGGCTTCCTTTATTGAGTCAAACCATCTCATGTTAGGTCATCCTCGTTTCCTCCTTTCCCCTTGCCTTTTCCAAACAGGCTTACCTGATTTTAAAAGTAGTATTAACTTCTCAACAGTGCCAATATCTACAGTGGGCCATTCCGGAGTATCAGGAGATAAATAAGAAGGGGACCAATTTGGATTGTTGAAAACAACATGAAAGTGAACCTCTCAAAAATTAGTCAAAATATGAGGAAATTGATCCTTATTGTTCAGCTTATATATGATAAACAAGATTCTTCATGAACTTAAAAGGTGGAACAGTCAGGCCTCAGGTGTGTATGTATAGCATACACAGCTGTGAGGATGGAATCAGAGTGAAATGGAATATAGGAAAGAACAACTGCCATCATTGGTCCTGCTCATAAAGGGGTTGAAGGCAGAAACGTCTTGGCCACAAGGAACATCACTCACCTGTTAACCAGTGCGTCCGACTGCGAGAGTGGACTGTAATCCATGAATGCTTATGATAAAATGAATCTGCCAGCCTTCACGATGCTAGAAGACTCAAGTTATGCTTGAACAGACTAATACAGCCATCATGCATCTCCATTCCACTTCATGGCACAAAAAGCAATGATTGCTAGATCTGATACATTTAATATGAACCATCACATTTCCATATACTGAGCAACAGAAAGCATGGAAACACATACACATTAGAAGTCTAGCTTGTACCTGAGCAGCAGCCTTGAGACTTGCTGTATTAATGAACCACTGCTTGCTGGCACGAACAATTACTGGTTTTTTAGTCCTCCAGTCATAGGGATAGCTGTGTGTGTACTTCTCTTCTTTTAATAACTTATTTGCTCCCCTGAGCATCTGAATTACTGTGGAAAATATTAAAATGTTATTAAAGAACTGTGTTTGAATTCTAAATGGCATAGCCCACAGTTTCTGCTGCTAGAGCAAAAGCAAAGTGTGCTGCTTGTATATTGCTCCATAGTGCTTAAAATACTCTCTGGGCTGTTTACAATGTAAATTATGCAGGCTACACATTGCTTCTCCACCCCCCAGTAAGTTGGGTACTGTTTACTGACCTCAGAAGGATGGAGGGTTGAGTCAACCTTGATCCAGCTACCTGAGTCCGGGATTCAACTCAAGTTATGAGCAGAATCTTCACTGCAGTACTGCAGTTTAACCACTGTGCCACAAGGCTAAAGAACATGAACTTGGTAATACATACATTTATTTGTTAACTGATGACATGATACACACCGGTTTCATTTCCTTCTTCAAGAACAGGCTTCTTATGAAGCTCAGAACCAGCAGCTTCTGTGAAACGTCCCTCTTCATCCACCAGGCAGTCCTAAAAATAAGTAAGTACATTTTTAAAAAATGACCACAAACCATTAGAAAGTCTTGTTTGATTTCAGCCATTTACTCATTATAGAACAGCACACTACACATTTTAGTAAAGAAGTGGTAAAATTAAGATTATAGGAAAGCAGCATTTGCCGTTTTGTTCAAAATGGTTACTACCTGACAAATCCATCAGGAAAAAACTGATTTGCATTTTAAAAATCAAGATCAATACTCCCCAAACTACTTATCCAGATGTCAAGCTGGATAAACACATTGGCAAAGTAGCTACCATGTTGACTCACAAAGAGAATATGGCTCAATAAGAAGCTGATGGCATATACCAAGATCCAGGTCTATAGAGCCTGTGTCCTGAGCACACTCCTGTACTGCATTGAGTCCTAGACCCTTTGTGAATTTTTGGTATCACCTGGCAGGGCGAAGTTCCAAATAGAGTAGTCCTAGAACAAGCTGGCCCCTTCATGGATTGCTGCCTTGTCCTGGCGAAGGGGCTTAAGTAATTCAGAGAAGCTATGGGCTATGCCATGCAGGGACTCCCAAGATGGACAGGTCATAGTGGAGAGTTCTGACTAAACACAATCCACCTGGAGTAGGAACCGGCAAGCCACTCCAGTATCTTTGCCAAGAAAACTCCATGGACAGAAACAAAAGGCTAAAAGATATGATGCTGGAAGATGAGTCCCTCAGGTCAGAAGGCGTCCAACATGCTACTAAGGAAGAGTGGAGGACAAGGAAAAGTAGCTCCAGACCTAATGAAGTGGTTGAGCCAAAGACAAAAGGACGCTCAGCTGTGGATGCGCCTGGAAGTAAAAAGAAAGTCTGATGCTGCAAAGAAAAATACTGTATAGGAACCTGGAACCTGGTAAGCTGGATGTGGTCAAACAGGAGATGGCAGGAATAAACATTGACATCCTGGACGTCTGAACTAAAATGGACAGGAATGGGTGAATTCAATTCAGATGATTATC